CTAAACAAGCTGGCTCTATAAAGCCCGATAATACCTCAGGGTTTCATTTTGGCCAGCCCAACCCTAGCCCTTAGTGCTTTGGCCCTAAACTTTTTTTTTCATTTTCAATTAAAAATTTAAAAAACATATTTAAAATTTCAAAAAAGTTATTACACATAACATTACATAACATTAAATAAGTCAATACACACAATAACGAATTTAAGTCTAATTAAAAAAACTTACAAAATCAACACTGATAACAATCAGACTTTGCTAGCATTATTAGCAAAGTTTTGATGATTTTCATTGTCATCAACATTAATATAATTTCATCCTTCTCTTTGTGAAGCCTCAACAGTGGTAAATGTATTAAGCTTTTTATATATTCGTTCTTAATCCTCGTGAAATGAGGCTAGAGTTTTAAAATTAGCATAGTATTTAATTTTTTTAAAATTAAAATTTAAAAAAATATAAAAGGGCCTAAAAGGGCTAGCTTTTTTATTTTAGGGCTTAAAGCGGACTCGACTCTAATTGATAGCTTTAGGTTTTAGTACCAATATGACTCTATGTTTGGTATCATGCTTGTCAGGATTTCCAATTCTTGGAGTTGAGTGGCAGAAGATGGAAAATCCTGACCTACGAATGTCAATGGGGATGGAGCCGGATCAGAAAGGTGTGCGCATAAGAAGAATTGAACCCACGGCTGCAGGATCCTGTGTTTTGAAGCCTTCTGATGTCATTCTTAGCTTTGATGGTGTCAATATTGCCAATGATGGAACAGGTAATGACCCAGTTTTTTAATTTATGCTAACTCACGTGCCACTCGTCCATGGTAACTCATGTATCAAGCATTTGATGTGTAATGAACTTTAAACTGAGGTTAGTTTAAGTGGGTTCAAAGGAAGAGTGATTCATTTGACCGGGTTTACGTCAGAGAAGGAGTTCATGAAAAGTCCCATATCACTTGTTTGAACAAAGAGAAGGGGGCTGAGCCTATAAATGGGAAGGCAAGGGAAGTGTAGCAGTATAATAAAATGGGCCGGGTCTAGGTTGAATTAAATCCATGGCACAAAGTTTATTAATTTAGCAAACCAGGATTGTTTGATTTGAGTGGTTATTCTGGTTTTGGCTATGTTTGATTGGACTAGGCATTTTTTCACAATTTTTTCAGTTTAACTGGCTAGTGGGGTCTAGTTTTTTAAGCATTGATTTTTTGCAGACTGCTAACCAGTGGCATAGAGTAGGTGCCAAGTAGGATCGTGCATTCCATGCAACACTTGGTGTACCATGAGTGAGATCTGTGCATGAAGTAGAGTTAAGAAACTATACATCACTTGTATGTTTTTTATATGTATTTATATATTTATACATATTTTAAAAAGCAGTTCACTTTCAGTTTTTTAATAATCAGATCATTGAATTGATGAATTGTGAATTCCCATTCGATAACTAGTTCAGTTTTGAAACTATTGTCCAGGATTTCTAACAGTCATCGCTAATCTCTGTTCATTTTTAACCTTTAGTTGGAATTTAATTTTAAAATTACATGAAAAATTTAAACCAACCTCTGCGTTATTTAAACCAACCTTGTGCCTTTTCACAATGCTTGAGATGAGCCACACTAATCATGATTCATGAACCGGTGGCTCCCTTTACTTTTTATATTTCATATTGAAATTGAATATTGATGATTGTTGGTACAATTTGGGGTTCAATTCAAATATTTCTTAACAAAAGGGAATCCACTAATGTTGCGTTTGGATGTAGGGGGATTTAAATTTGGATTTAGGCCAAATTCACCATTTAGATCCATAATAAACTATGGATTTGGATTTGATCTAAATTCAAATTGCTATTTAATTATAATTTTTTGTAATTTCAGATCCCTCACACACCCTAGTTATTTGAAATGTCGGTCACTCTAACCCTGTTGTTCTCTTCCCATTTTAATTTCCCATCTCCCTCTTTTCATTGTCTTTGAATTTGAAATTTTTATACTTCCCAAACAAATGATTTTAAATATATAGATTTTAAATGTGAAATTTTAAATCTAAAATACAAATCCAAATCTACCAACCCAAACACTACCTAACACCATTAAAATTTTAGACTTCTGTGCGATATTGACATGGCGTGATTTTGATCATATATCTGCACTTTGTAAACATCTAGCAGGAATTCTGTTATGAATATTGCTAATTTGCTTAATTGTGTTTTCTTGTTGTTTTGTAAGTTCTCCGGTTTATCTTGTTTCTTAGGTGTCAGAACTAACATCTAGTTTTGGGATATATTTTTAGTTCCATTCAGGCATGGGGAGCGCATTGGTTTTAGTTACCTTGTTTCTCAAAAATACACTGGGGACACAGCTCTTGTGAAGGTTCTCCGTGATTCAAAGATGCTTGAATTTAATGTAAAACTGTCAACACATAAGCGGCTGATCCCTGCACACATCAAAGGCAGGCCTCCTTCTTACTACATCATTGCTGGATTTGTTTTTACTTCTGTTTCTGTGCCCTATTTACGCTCTGAGGTAAGTAGCTATCTGACAAGCTTTTTGCCCCCTTTTGTTTGTGCACACTTGCGGGCATGTGCGAATTTAGAGCTGATGAATGTTGTGATGTTTACTTCCATATATAATCTATGCATGCAGCAATGCGAGCACGCCCAGTGTATTTGGCTATATTCTATTTGAGACTTTGATTCCAATGATTATTTAGTTTCCAGTCGCAGGTGGTACATAAAAAGCATTTTATGTTTAAATTCATTTTGTAACTAACGTTAATCTTTGGCTTTTCCCTTATCTTTAGTATGGAAAGGAGTATGAATTTGATGCTCCAGTCAAGCTTCTGGACAAGCATCTACATGCAATGGCGCAATCTGTTGATGAACAGCTTGTTGTTGTTTCTCAGGTTTTCTGCCTCTTTCTTCATGTGCATACATCTGTATCTGTTACATTTAATACTTGAATCTGCTCATGCTTGAAACTGAAATATGGTGCTAGGTTCTAGTAGCTGACATTAATATTGGATACGAGGATATTGTTAACACTCAGGCAAGAAAACTTGTCATATAACTTTTTCCAGTGAGTTCATTTGTGGTATTAATAGAATGTCCTTGAAAATTTATTCCATTGATGTATTTAGGTCCTCGCTTTCAATGATAAGCCTGTGAAGAATTTGAAGAGTTTGGCCAGCATGGTTGAGAGCTGTGATGATGAATATCTGAAGTTCGCTCTGGAATATGAACAGGTAAATATGATTCTTGCATTCTTCTTATTATACTTGTTACAATACTACTTTTTACTGTTACTAAACATGTCGTTTATGCTAAATAATTGTTCTCAACGCCTGAATACATGCTTTCACTTTCTTGGGTAGAAAGTTACATAAGTTCTTGTGAGGAATCGATTTTGACGAGAATTTTTTTTACTGTTAATTATTAATATTGGGACAGGGCTTTTATGTTTCATTGAATGTGTTCCCAAGAGTTTAATAAAGTCGATATGCTTATGATAATATTTATATTAGGAATAGATTAGCTGCCACTGTAACTTGCTCAATATATACCTGTTTGCAGATAGTGGTGCTAAAGACCAGCACTGCCAAGGCAACGACTTCAGATATTCTGACTACACATTGCATACCATCTGCGATGTCTGATGATCTCAAGACTTGATTGAAAATTTTGTTGAAGCCCGTTGGATATCATTTCTTGCCGGCTTCTGCCAGAGCCGGCTCACCTTTTTCGCAGGTCACGGATAGACAGACAAGGGTATGCACGCCGAGAGAGAGATTCATTGGCTGGGGAGTGCACCATAATGCTTTTTGATGCATGAAGCCTTGGTCCCATTGCGAGTTGACGTGTTTTGTATTTGTATGTATGTTGGACCTTTTGAACACACAAGATCATCATTATCCTGAAGAAGAAAGGATGGGGGGGGGGCATAGTAGGCTATCATTCTTGTATATGAAATTATGTTACATTCATAACTAATATTTTTGTTTTGCAAGGAGAGGCATGTACTAATTTATAGAGAATATAAATACTATTATTAAATATAAATGCTGGCTCATTTGAGATTATTTGAATTACCTTTCTTTCATGTTGGAGGGAATTGATCATTGGTGGTTGTTATCAATAGGTGCATTACGTGGCCGTCTGAAAACTAGGATTTGTTTATCTTGGTTATGGCTTCTTCGACTCTATCATAAACCAAGGATTTCCACGCTTTGTTTTGTAAAAAATAAACAGGTTGAGTTTGGCGAAGGAATTAGTACTTTATGATATATTGAATCAAACCTTGAATTTTTACTGGAAGATGTATTTGCATTTAATATTTAATTATATTTTGAGTATAATGGTTTCTAATAGAAGGAAACTTGTGCTACAATTAAAAACAACAACAACAACAACAACAAGCCTTTATCTCACTAGGTGGGGTCGGCTACATGGATTGCAAGACGCCATTGTGCTCTATCATTTTTTTCATGATAGATTCAACAAATTTTTACATTGGCTGTTGATGGCCTAACACAACTCTCCTCCTTTACCCGGGTTTGGGACCGGCTATAAACATAGGCGGAGTTTTGTGCTACAATTAAAAACAAAAAAACTAAAAAATTATGGATGCGGTCCAACATGATTCGGGTGGTTTTTCTTGCGTCGTTAAATATTCAACAGTTGCATTTCAGCATTTTGTAACCTTTCATGCAGGCTGAGTTGTCCGTTTACAGTTGAGATCTATAACGTTCTCAGTGTTTCGTCCAGCTAGACCTAGTAGTCTTTGATATTGAGTGTGGCTTTGCGACTACAGACAGAAAAATGCCAGCTTGCTCATGAATATCAGCTGCAGAAAGGTTGCTTCTACCTCTGCAGAAACTTGAAGAGGTTATTCTGGCTCCTTTCTGATAGAAAGCCGTTCGACGATAAGCATTTTGTGCTTTCAGTTTTTTGCAAAAAAACAGGCTATTTTGTGACTGTGACCACCTTTGTTTCAATGTTAAAAAGGACTTGCAAAACATTATTGAATGAAAAAAATCTCATTCATTTTCCGGAGGGTTAAGAATATACAAGTTGGGCAATATGATACTACACATTGAGCTCTCCGCCGGGCATGTTATACCATGCTGTTCTTTGACTATATTTCTTTATGTTTCTTCAGATGTTAAGAGAAGAGCCATGGACGACGGTAATCCCCTTCTATACATTTGCATGCATGTTCTTTCCAGCTCTTTCAGTTTCATAGCCTTGCAGGAGTGGAACATTCTCTGCAGTAGGTGATTCCACTCTACCAACATTTTCATCCATCTCTTCTGTTGATTTTCCCCACATTACGGTATAAAATCCCATCGATATTATCGTGGCTCCAATCAGACTGCAAAAAAGCAACATAGACTTGAGCAAACTAACAGTTCAATGAATCATTTAATTTTGCAATTCCTTCTCTGCTATGGTAATGTATCAGTCTCTTAAAGAAGAACTGATTGCCACAACTTATTTGGTTATCTCATTTGTGCGTGAACGTGTGCTTGTCATTTTATGAGGCAAGGAGGAAATGCAAATAATGGACACACTCATTGTCTAATACCTTCCAAGATGGAGAGCATCACCAAGGAAGATAAACCCCATGGCAACAGCAATGGCAATTGAGAGTGGCTTAAACATTGCTACATAGAGTGGCCCCTTCATGCGCAGTGTCCAAGTGTGAATTGCATTGTTCAAGAATGACCCGAAGATTCCCTACAAATATGGCATAAAGCATCCAAGAATTACCTTGGTGTAAGAATTGTTTAATAAATTATCAGTTGTTTGTGGGAAATCTTACAGAACAAAGAATGGAGGCCAAAGCTGTGCCGGGTCCTATCTTCCAAGCACTTGGATTTGGCTCTGCAAATATTCCTACAATGGCTGCCATTATACTAACACATAAGTTATAAAAAAAGACCACGGTTAACTCATCCGGGTAAACCTTCATGATTTGTACCTGTAGAATGAACAACTATTGAATTAAAACTAACTTGAAATGTAGCACTTTGAGGATTTCTGTGATGGAGAGAAGAAACGTGTACCTGGACAATGTACCAAAGTGGAACAAGTATGTACTCAGCTGTGAGCAGAAGACCACCAATGGCCCAACTTGGATCCACTGATCTCGGAGTGTTGAGAGGTTGATGAAGTGAAAAGGAAGGTGCATGAGTGATGATGATGGGTGGTCCTTTGTACAGAGTTACCACAAATGCCCCTGATATTGATACTATGGTGCCCAAAATCTTAGCTTGACAGCTTGAACTTTTTATTGCAATCGTTTCCATCCTTAATTGTGGTGGTAATGAATAGAACAAGGATAACAGTCAGCAAAGCTAGTATCGTGTGTCTGAAAAGTTTTACTATGATCGGTTATTCTTAAATTGACAGTTTATAAATGTATGATATGAACAGCTTTTTTGTGATGTAACTACACAGAAAGTTAGCACCTAAATCATACGCTGAAAGAAGTTGTTTTTCTTTTATAATCATCAAGGCTTGAAATTATTGGTGAGGACAAAACTGGAATTTTTACCCTCATCTGTTGCTCCTCCCTAACAGATGATGGACGATATTGAAATACTGAAATATGACGAATAAAAGGGAAGAAAGAAACCTGAAAAGGATGGCAAGCAAGAAAGTGAAAGCTGGGACCAGATTACTTATGGCTGACGAAAGTGTGGGAGAACTGTAACTGATGCCTGTGTACCCCATGATCTGAGATGAACACCTGAAATTCAAGCCCATCAAACATGAAAATTATTTTAAAAAAGGAAAAAAGAAATTAAAAGAACTTGAATCAACTTAGACGAAATGGCCTGAAAACTGCATGCATGTACCCTATAAACCCGAGAAAGACAATTCTGGAGAATATGGAGAAATTGAGTGGAGGAAGCACCCTCGACCTGCAACGGAAAAAAAAAAAAAAAAGGACATCAATAGTAGAAACCATGGATCGCAATTGCTTGATTCGATGCCTGCTTGCAAACGATTCACGACCTTCGGGAAACGAAGGATATTGGGAGGAGCACAATCGCAGCAACAGCATAAGCATAGACGACAAAGACGTGGTAGCTCATGCCTTTCAAGGTTGCAGCTTTGAACAGAGTATTCAATCCAACGTTGTTGCATTCCATTGCCACCAGCGCCGCAAAAGGCAGTAAATCCTTGTAACAGTACCTTTTCGCCATCCCTCTTGTTCTCTCCTTCTCTCCCTCCCTCCCTCGCTCGCTCACTCACTCACTCAGACACAACTGAAGAGTAAAGTTCAGAAAGATGGGTGGTGTCTTCGTAGGAGCAGAGGACGAAGGATCTGTTGACAACTTGACAACAATGAAGGAAGGGACCAAAGTGGTGATAATTTGGTCATTTTGTCACATCATTCTCAATATGATGCATTATTGGCTGCTTTAAATATTTGTTTATTTGCTCATTTGTGGGTGGCTTAGATCAGACTATGAAATTAAAGAAACAAAAGACGTATATTCGGAGAAAACGGAAATGTGACGTGAAAAGAATCTATGGACACTAGAGCATGAAGACAAAAAGCCATTGAGGAAACTCGGTTTCGTTTAAAGTTGAAGCGATATCAGATTCCATAACCCCTGTGAAAACACTTGTTTAATCTTATTAGTATTTCAAGATTGGCATTAACAAGCAACAGTTGCGTGTGACAAGTCGAGAACTCAATAAAGTCATGCAGTTAAGTCTACGGATATTATAGAAAACGCCCTATTCTGCCTTTGAATTTTTTAATTGTTACATGGATCTGAGAATAGATTGATAGACGAAAGGGATTGTAAAATCAGAGTCCATAAATGATGTTTGAAATTGGCCCTAATGGAGAGATTATTCTAGAACTGAATTCTCATTTGTAGTGTATGGTCTTAACAAGGTGAAGGTAGGAACTTGAAATTCCTACTGATTACAGCCAGTGGATTGCACAAGTGACAAAAAGGGAACCAGCAGCATCAACTACTTCCCGTCCCGACAAATTCTGAAAGGACAGAATGAATGGGTGAGGATAACGCTTTTGATGAATAACAAAAGGCGGTGCTCAAAAGGGCCCAGCAAAAATGGTCGAAGGAGGCTCAGCAAGTAGAGGTCCAGGAATAGGTTCCGTTGCTGCTCAGGTTGCCTGTTTTAGAAGACAGAGACAGGTTCTATCCAATGTCACGGTTAATGGAAACTGGAGTTCGTGTTATAGGTTCTTGTCCCTGTTGATGACAGCCCTCTCTAGCAAAAATTGCAGAGACGCGCAGGGCGAGATCAAGGACATTGGGCCGAGACGATGAAGACAATAGGTAGACCCATCATGTTGCTATCGTGAGCGTAATAATATAAGGGAAACGTATTTTGTCAAACTCGGTAACTTGTGAGTTGCGTGTAGAGTTGTACTGATTTTTGAGCCCCAATCAATTTTCATTTAACACGCAAGACGTGCAACAACAATAGACGTTTGAGATTGACAATAACATTTATTGAAATCCAGTTTCAGGGTCCATCATTACGGTGAGATTCATTTATTGAAATAACAAGAGCTAATAAAAATGTAAAATTGAATGTCGTATGTGTTCCATTGCAATTAGGATTTTGGAAATCATCCTTCTGTTCAAAATTCAAAAGTGTAAAGTATTTTTTGAATGAATATATATTAAAAATATAAATCAAATATTTTTAATATTTTTAATATCCTTCTGTTCAAAATTTAAAAGTGTAAAATATTTTTAATATTTTGAGATACAATTAGTGTGTTTTTTTAAAAGTGTCCATGATAAATAAATCAAATTATATTTATTTCAAAATAATACAAGTAATTTAAAGACATTTAATCACTTTGAAAGATAATATTCGATTAAAAATGTTTACATTTTAAATTTTTTTTTTTTTAGAGAAACCCTTTCCTGGAGATTGGTCTACTTATTTTACTCCCTCTAATATGTATGTATTTTTTATTATTATTTTCAAATGAATTCAATAATTCATCAAAAAATGTAAAAATAAAATTATGTTAAATTTATATCATCCAATTTTGATGTGGATGGTATAGATTATGATAATGAGCATTGAAATTGTTATAATGAGTATATAAATTTAGGTCATCTAAATTAAAACCGATAAATAACTTGTTTTATATAAAAATGTAAGTTAAATTAATTGTGGAATTGGAGGAGTAATGTTTAATTAAAACTACTATAATTTACTATTATGATTCATTCATTAATCAATCATAATAATTAATTTATAAAATAATCATGACATCCGATTTATTTTAGTCTAATCAACTTAAGTTTTTTTCTCTAAGAAAAAATAATCCACAGGCTTACATCGTTGATTACATATTATCCCACACCCAGAAATAATGAATCGATTGGCCCGACAAAAGCTAAAGCGATGATAACGAGACTCAAAAAAAAAAAAAAGGTCCCATCAATCAACTGTTGAAAGGGATATTACATTTCCTATTCTGAAATTACATTTCCTCATTTTATTGAAAGACGTAACACGTAATGCTTCTGCCCGGTGGCGGTAATCACGATACTCTGAATCTACAAGGGATCGTCGAGCTTTTTCCCCGTAATTACTTGTAAATATTTTAATACTAAAAATAGTTTTATTTGAAACATAATTGAGTATTAAATCTAAGTAATTAGGCACCTCTCTTGATAGATATTAGTACTTTAATTTACCTTATTGGGAGAGATTAATTACTTCTACTTGATTCAACCCCTGTTGGTATAAAGGATAAGAGAGTTTGAATTCATAAAATGTAGGGGTGAAAAGAGCGGATCAATCTGGTAAATTTAGAAAATTTGATTTAAAGTGCTTGCAATTGTATGTACTCATATAACTACGGGGAATCACAGTACTGCTTAAATATGTTTAGTTAGGATTTGTATGGATAGATTTGGATTTGAATATTAGGTTTAAAATCTTGAATGTTAAATTGTATATTTAAAATTTATGTACTTAAAATTATTTGTTTGTGTAGCTTGAAAATTTTCAAATGAAGAAGAGATGAAGTAAAGTAATGAATTTATACATATATGTTAGTCAATGAAAAACAATAATAAAATATGAGAAAAAATATGATAGTTATATAGACATAAATAGTAAAAATATCAAGATAACGATATACTTAAAATGATTGAAATTTTAAAGGATTAGAGTGTGAAGAAAATTTAAAATTATAAAAAAATTATAACATAAAATATATTTGTTAAACTAGCAAAAATTGATTTAGTTGATAAGAATTTTGCTTATAGCTAAAAATATATTAATAAGCACTCTTTAAATTTGAAGCCACATCTTAAACCTCATAAGCCTTTACAACCCAACTCATTTAAATTTTTTTCATTGAAAAAAGACATGAACTTATTGTGCATCAAACAATGGCTTTACTCCAAATCTAAATCTAAATTCTCATTGACCCAAACACACTATTAAGATGTAACTTCAACTCAATTAGTTGTAAAATATTAATTTCCTGACAGTTAAATTTTGGAATGAATTGTACGTTGTTATAAATTTTGATATTTTAATTATAAATCAAATATTTAAATTTGAAATTTTATTTTAATTTACAATTAAATTATTCATTTGCAATTGTGTGAAACGAAATGAAAAAAAAATAATTTTTCAAGAAAATATTTTCCTTAAATTAAGCTAAATAGTGAAACGGGAACACGAACGGAAGAGTCACCGGCAGAAAAAGCACAAGTACATGCGTGTTTTACAAGTTAAGAAAACGAAAATGTTCTCTTTCCAAAATTGTGCCACGCTCTGGTCTTCCATTCCACAGTTCAACGCCATTTCCTCATGACCTTAGTGAATCCGCATCTCATAAGTTGAGATCGTTGTCAACTATCTTTGGACCCCCCAAAAAGGAAAAAAAAAAAACGAACAAACAAACAAGAGAGATGTCTTTGTCAACTATCTTTCGACCCAAAAAAAAAAAAAACATGGTATATTCGTTAACGCTTTAAAAATAAAAAGCGTCACCGAACTAGAATACATTTTTTAGTCAATTTCTTGACTTGTCTTTTAACGTGGCCGTGCATAGCCAAGAGTTATACAAATGGGGGTTAATCAATCCATAACTTTATTTGAAAAGCCATTGGGTGTTTTAAATTTAATAATGAAAAGATTTTTTTTTTCATTATCCTACTATTTTTTTATCATTTTTTTATTATTAGTAAGCTTACGTATGAATATCGAGGGGTAAAAATAATTCTTAATTTAATAAAAAAATATTGAAATATGGTAGAACCTACTTATGAAAAATGAACTTTAGGCATTTTTAATAGCAAAGTGAGAAAATTTTTAATGTTGAGAAATAAAATTGATTCATAATTAAATTTATAAAATTATAGTGCTCAATGACTTTTTAAATAAAATTGAGAAATAAAAATAACTCTTAACCTTATAAATGACTATCAATCAAGATCAATCACTAAATAATACATATGAAGAGTTGGCTATTGATAAAACTTTTCCATCTATTTTCCAAAAGGACAAAAAACTATACCGTCTATGTAGTCCACCGTATATGTAGGAACTAAATATACTTTGTCTCTCATATTTATATTTGTTTAAACTACTCTTATTTTTATATTGTTTAGAAAAAATTGAATTATGAATTGCCTATTTTGGAGAGATATTTTTTAAAGTAATTAACGCACATTTTTTTACAAATAGACAACTTAACTAATTTTTTAATATATGCGAACTCTTTAACCAATTCTTATACTTGAGATGGGAAGGAATAAAACTATAACTTCTAACGTTAATGACATTTTTCGCGCAAAAAAATTTGTGATGAATGTTAAGGAAACCCAAGCAAAACAAGGAAAACGAAAGAACCCAACCAGTTTCTTTTTCCAATATAGAAGCCCAAGGGATAAAAAAAAAATTAAAACAAATAATTCAAGACTGATTTTATTTGAATCAAATTTAAAACATTCTATTATATAAAAAAAGCTTATATAATTAAATTCAGTCCTAATTTCTCAAGATTTTGGGCTTATTCGAATTGGTAAATACCAAATTTTTTAAATATCATTTTACTTTTATTTTTATATAATTTGAGTATTTATTTCAAAGAATTAACATTTTAATTTTTATATTATTTTATTAATAGTAACAAAGAAATTTGAGTATTACAATAAAACCCATTGGCGTTAGAGTTTGGCCCAAATTTTTTTACATTTATTTGGGTGGCTTGAATTAATTAAAAGTAAAAAAAATTAAAACTTTTTAATTTAATTTTAAAATTTTTTAAACTTATTCGAATTAGATTATGAGGATTAACCTAAATTAAGGCTTACTACACAAAATATATGAACTCACTTAAATCATCAACAATCGATAATGAATTAACGGCATGGATTTGGGCGGTGGAGCATCCGGAGATAGCCCCTTTGTACTTGGTTTCTTTCCTTTTAATAGAAAAGATTCGTTTCTGTAGGTCCATATGCCAGAAACTGGGTAAGAACTAAGAAGCAGGGACCCGTCACAAAATTTTTGCAAAAATTACTTAATTTTCACTTATAAAAAATGATAAAATTAATTTTTGTTTCTCACTATTATGCAATTTTATACTTTGGCCTCCCACAGTTATTTGTGAATCGTTCCCTAAAAAGAAGTGAACAATGCAAGTTAGTCCTGTTTGATTACTAAAAAAATGAAATAAATGAAATATAAAAAATTAAAATTAAAATGAATTAAATTATCTTTTCTCTAATGGTAATTATGGTAACACTTATTAATATATACTACAAATATGTGAACAATCATATCTTTAAAAAATATCATGAATTATAATTTTCAATTTTATGAACTAATTATCCTTTTCTTTATTAATGTAGTTCATTTATTTTTATTTTTTTTAGGTAACTACTTTCCTAAAGCACCACTCTTGCAAGACCAGATTGGTGGGCAGAAGAAGCATGAAAAAACCTCTTCCTTCGGCAAGAGTGGGGGGATTTCCTTTAGCACAACCAATTGTTAGCCCAAGTAAAGGAAAAAGGGAGAAAAATCCGTATCAAGAGGCTTTTTTATATGAAAATCATGCATCAGTCCCACAGCACTCTCGCTGTTGATTAGATTAAGTCTTTCGTATAAAGAATGTGAATAGGGGATTCGAAAACAATAAGAGCTAATACGATTGCGTTTGAGAAGTCTCACGAGCCCTCCTCTAATAGCCTTATGCCATTCGTATCCTATGACCAGTAGTTCTTTCTCTTATTAAAAAATAGCACTTACAAATCTCACTAACAACTGATTCTATACCAACGGATGAAATAATTGCCTGTTCTTTTGCTACAAAACAAGGCATTCTTGCTAAGATATTTCGACTACACCTTCTTTGCTTCACTACTGCTATTTCTGTGAGAACTTGTGCTAATCTAATTTCATTCTCATGGCTCATATATTTTATAATTTTTATAAATTTTTTATTTTAATAAATAAAATATATAATAATAATTTAAATTTAGACGCTACAAATTTTAGTTTAGATAATTTAGATTTCATCACAATAAGGAGAATATGGATGAGCACCCAATCAAACTCTGAAAATTGGACTTTTTTCAGTCGCCTTTTCTTTGTTAATAGAAGGCTAGTTCGTTGCTTACGTGTCAGTCAAATAGTCAGAAGGCTTTTCAGTTCTTGTCCTGCATATATACATATTTATTTTCATCCTATAAAGTTACTTCAATCACATTTCATTGGAATAACAAAATTTAAATTTATTAATTATAATTTAAAATTTAATAAGTCTCTAATAAAAATAAAAAAATATTTTTCAACATTTAATAAACGTATAAAAACCCTCAATCCCATATATAAACATTGTCGTGAACGAATAGATTGAAATTCTCATTTATAGTTTTTTAAGCATATCGTACGGGCATGCCATCAACTCAACTCCACTCAAAACCCTCCAAATATAATAAAATTCAACGCTACACGAGAACTTTTTCTTTTTCATTTTTTCTCACATGTCCTCAGATATGTCTGCCAAATACTAAATATTCCCCACTTTGTAACTTTTTCTCATGGAGCAGCAGACAGGAGAAGTTAAAAGCTCAGTAATGTTCACAAAGCAATTCAAAATGCAAAAAGATTTCAAGTCTTAAACCAAGTACAGGCTCCTAAGCATCCAACATTTTCTACACTGTTTCCTGCTTGCATAAGTCATAAACCTGTACCTGAGTTTCGTTACATGCCATTCCGTCTTCCCCTTTGTTGTAGCTCTGCCACAAGGGAGTCCTGCAATGTGGTTGCACTTCTGAGCTGCTTAAGCCATAGTTCTCCTTCAACTCTTCTTCCTCTTTCGCTTTCCCCCATATCACCGCATAAAAGCCGACCGACAGTATTACTGCTCCAATAACGCTGCAACATTTGAAACAAGACAAAATATATCATATTATGCCAAATGAAGCCTCTAGGAAGAATCTTGCTTATAACTTCTATCTGATTCTAATTTTCTGGTTTTGAAAAGCAAGTTGATAATGGAGAAAGGGAATGAATTTCATGCCTGCCTAGATGCAGAGCATCGCCCAGGAAAATGACACTCATAGCAGCTGCAATGGCGATCGAGAGCGGCTTGAAGATTGACACATACACAGGGCCTTTCAGATGGAGACCCCACATGTGAATCAGACAGCTTAAGAACGTGACAAAGAGTCCCTGCAGGAAGAAAGTGAATCAAGCTGTTAGTGCAAGGTATTACTTATTTAGCGACCCAAATGTCCTTCTCCCTACTGTTTTTCATCCATCCAAGAAAATACTCAGTTTCTTACTGAGTAAATAATGGAGATCAATGTGATGTCAGGCTTTATCCTCCAAGCACTCAGGTCCGGTTGTGCTATGAAACACACTGGTGCTGATATAATAGTCCCGCAAAGGTTGTACAAGAACACCACTATCAGCTTTGCTGGATATTCTTTTATAACTTGGGTCTGTCAAAATCCAAGAACTCAAGTTTCAGAAAATTCCCCTGAAATTGACTCAAAATCACACGCACTAGAAGCTTCTAATAAATTTGCAGCATTGGATCATGAGTGAGTTTACCTGAACAATATACAAGATTGGAACTAGAAGGTACTGAACAAGAAGTAGGAAACCACCGAGAACCCATTTCGTTTGCGGGGATGATGAATCCACTGAAGAATTTGCTGGAGGAGGAGGAGGTGGAGATGGAGAAGATGCTGGTATAAGTGGAGGACCCCTGAAGAGAACAACTGCGAGTGCACCGGCTATGGATACCACCGAACCCATGATCTTGGCCTGAGTGCTGGAACTCGTTAATTCTGCCTTTTCCATCCTTCATACATGGACCCAGAAAAGTTATAACATACGCTTCAATGTTCTCTTAGACGCAATGATGTAGCTATCAAAAAGAAGAACACAAATCTAGACTGAGAGCAGAGACACCTGAAGAAGACGGCGAGTATGAAGGTAAAAGCGGGAATCAGGTTGCTCATCGCAGCAGCCAGAGTGGGTGAACTGTACTGAATGGCTTTGGCTCCGCAAAGCTGCGCTCCAAGCCTGTCCCTCAGAAACATCAACAAATCCATTAAAAAAAAAATCAAATTGAAGATCAAGATATAAAAACCATCTTAGAAATCATGCAGAGGAGATGCAAAGCCGGAAAGTTTGATAAAATGGTAGGAGAATGGATTAAGTGACTGTGTCTCACCCGATCAGTCCAAGGAGGAAAATTCTGAAAAGCAGAGACGGTGTGAATGAAGGAAGCCCAGCGGACCTTCAGAGAGAGAGAGAGAGGCAATGGATGAGCAGAGAAGACATAAAAGGGAACAGAGACGAAAAAGGAGGAAGATATATATATATATACATATAGAGAGAGAGAGAGAGAGAGAGTACCGACGGAGAATGAAGGGAAGAGGGAGAAGAAGAACCAGAGTGGAAACAGCAGTGGAATAGACAATGTAGACGTAGTAATCCATGCCTTTGAGAGTGGCTGCTTTGAACAGAATGCTGGCACTAACGTTAATGCTCTCTATTGCAATAAGTGCACAGAGTGGAACAACATCCTTGTAAAAATACATCCTCGCCATTTCTGTTCCTGCTCGATCCTCCCCACTCAGTATCAGTTGTTCTGTAATACTTTGACGATGCCTGGTCGTCGAACCAGCTGTTTGGGAATCTCAGGGTCTTGATTTCCTCAAACACACTCCCTCCATTGTGGATCAGATCTTTCTCTCTCTTATAACCACCATTCACCGTCACTGCTATTAAATACTCCAAACGCGCTTATATACCCTGTCTTGCCGGTGAAAATGATGTTTTTATATTTTATTTGGATCCAATATCTAGCGAAAATGACCTCCGGTGCTTTCAAAAACATTAAATCTAGGGAAAATTAGGGGGAAATACCTAAAACTTCTCAAATTTATTATAAATAACCATGAAGATTAAAATTAGGATGAAAGGACTAAAGCAAATGTAATTGACTATTATGATTCTTATAAAATCTGTCAATATCCATTTCATTTTACCTATCAGTTTCCCTCCATCATAACGTAGCATTTCTTTTGATTGATTAATTGAAAGTAATAAAATATCTCCAATGAATGTTGACGATCCATTATTTTCTAACCACACTACAAACCAGTTATTGGAGTACGTTTGTCAAATCAAATTTGTTGACATGATTAGCAAACAAAACCTATGAGAAGCAATAGCAAAGGGCTTAAATATAAAAGAGCCAATGAAATTATCAAGTTTCATCAAAATTAATTTTGGGATTTTCTGAATTAGCAAATAAATTATCAACCATTTGAGAAATTAGATGGAAAAAAATGCAAATCCTGGATAAAACAATGTTGTTATTTATTTGGGGTGACTCCCATATCTATTAGCACCCTCTCATTCATTTATATTTGTGAACTAGAATTTGAACTGCTTGTAGCTAAATTATCAATCATTTTTTTGCTCTCTCTCAAAGCACTGAGAAACGAATTTTGCTCGAACCATATGTTTCTGTTCATGTTCTTTATCACTAGCAATAACCATCTATCAAATACGTGAAATATGGTTAGAGGGAATATAACAGATATGACCAGAGGCAATTTTGCATATTTAAATTCATATTTTACTTTTTGTCCTTCTAAAAAAATTACTATTTTTAAGATCCTCGCCAATAAATACTATTTTCTCTAGATTTTTTACTGTAATTTTTCCTTTACAATTTTACATGAAGTCAATTGAAATTAGTTATTTTTAAAAATTTTAAAATTTAGACGAACGAGTTTGTCTAATCAGTTTGAAAATTTTATGCTTAGTTAAAGTTATTAGGCATGCCAAGAAATTCAAAGGAGATCTTGATCAGGCGGTCCTTTTCTCTTCTAATGCTGTGACTATTTTATGCGTTGAATAAAGGGGGGAAAGGAATTAACTGGAAAAGAATCTCTCAGATCATCGGTTCATGAACATGTTAGGTTATGATTAGGCTAACACTGGTTAGTGCAATACGGAGTGTTGTTATATCACAGTACGGTAGTTGTATGGTAGTAGCTAGTAATGACCTGATAAGTTAAGGAGAAAACACCTAGAACGCAATAATCATGAACATTCAAAACAAGTAAAAATATTGTCAAATAAAATGAAAAACAGAGAAATAAGTAATTGTAAGTCGAAACAAATCGAGTTGCTTAGGGTATTGTTTGTGGTTTTCAAAGGTTCATAGTCTGCTGATAATCAATCTCTCGGAGCCTCAACAACCGCTGCATTTTTTATTGCATCTTGTATATATAATAATGGCTTCAAGTGCAAAATCTTGGATGAACCTTGCCATAAAGATGGATGTGATCCTAGGCCTCCTCGAACATCAACCTTTGCTGTCTTCCTAGGAAGTTTTCAACACGGTAATATAATCCAGAACACCAAAAAATGCCGTTCAAATCATATTGATTTTATTTACATATTATATTAATTAATCAACATGATGCAGCTGGATCACAAGCTCAGAATAATGGCATGCACGTGACAACTGGAAATCCTCATCATAAAACTGAGGGTAAGTAAAAGGAAAGGAGAAAATGACATCTAAAAAATACAGGTGTCTTAAGTGACACAATATCTTATTACACCTCCAAGAAAGGGTTACGTTTTTATTTTATTTGGCCGTACTGATTTCTTTTCATTATTTTTGTTGTTGTCGGCAGAGGCGGAGCCAACATTTTTTATTAAGGAGACTGAGATGATAAAATATAAATAATAATTTAAAAAAAATTAAATATATATATATATATATATATTACTTATACAATATAAATATTTTAACATATATATTTACATTCAATTACACATAAATAAAAAATATATATATTTTAAGTTTTGTTCATCGATTTTTTAATGGTGTAAAAATTATTAGTTATTACGTCTATAATAAATGTTTTAGTAATTTTCTTTCTCGTATAAATTATCTTTAAATTGGTAAAAACTTTATCAAGCATTAAATGATTTAAATAAATCATTAAAATTTAAAGTTTTGTTCAATGTAATAAACTCTATTACTTGTTTATTGAATTTACTATTTAATTTCTTCAATTGATAGTTGTAATAAATAAATATATCAACACATTAATAATGCTCAATTATTATAAAATCTCAATGTCAATGAGATTGAATTATATCAAAGTAAAAACAATTCATATCATAAATTTCAATAGCTTGCTTGTTTAAAAAATAATAATTTTTTCTAGAAGAACATCTTTACCAAATTTTCAAACTTTTGAACAAGTGATTTTATGATAGATATCAAGCATGTGAGATTCAATATATGTTGGAATTTTTGTTGTAATTGTAACATCCTAATTTAAATTTTAATAGTTAATTTGGGTTAATAGAAATTTAAAATTAAAAATATAACATAATTTCTAATCTCAATCTTAATACAAATCTAGAGTCAATACTATTAAGTAAAATTTTTAACTCCTCTTTTAATTATCAATAAACATTAATAATCTAAAAATCAACTTCTAAACTAATTTTTATTACCAAAATTTTCTTTTTATTTCATAAATTCGTACCTAAAATACCCAAAAATTAAAAATTGTGTCTCTAGCTTAGAATCATAATCCTATAACCATAATAATTCATTTCTCATCCCAAATAATCATCTAAACCTCAATAAATCAACATATATTTTTAGATCTAGTTTAGAATTTGATCCATAAGCCACATATTCAAAGATCATCAATAAATTTATACTCTAGAACATTTATTATACTACTGACAACTTCAAAAATCATATTTATTCAACATAAATTCATCCCTCTTCCAGATCTTAAATTTTCTACCACTACAAACTCAGAAACCAAAGAAGAAGGATGACTAAGAAAAGTTTTTAGAACACTTACTTAGTCTTGAAAAGCTTAAAATCACACCTTAAATATCCTATTAAAAACTCTTACCTTAAAAATTTAGATATTTCGCACCGGTGACTCGCTTCTTTCCGCCTCAGCTCGCGCGCAGGAAAAGAATTGAAGAAATGAAAGGAAACGGGTGAGTTTTATAAAAATTCAGTGGATCCCATATATTTTTTTTATTCTTTTCTCTCTCTTCTTTCTTCTTCTTCTTCTTTTTTTTTATTATTATTTTACTATTGTTACTATTGAGGCGGCGGCCGAAGCAAACTTCTCTTTTTCTTCTTCTCTCTCTCTCTCTCTTTTTTTGCATACCTTTTTTTTATAATAATAATTTAATAATATTTTTTAATTAATTAATAATAATTTTTTTAATTAATTTTTTTTAAAAAAAATTTAATTTAGAATTATATCCTAAGTTAGATTTAATGATCATTTTCTACTAATTTATTTACCTCTAAATATTTTTTTTAATTTCTATTAATCCAAATTAACTATTAAAATTTAAATTGGGATGTTACAATTCTCCGCTCCTTTTAGAAATTTTGTCCTCAAAATTTAAAATTAGTAAGTATTAACTACTCACTTAATCAAAAAGATGAGGATAATCACGTCGCATACTGTCCTCGGTCTCCCACTAGCATCACCTGGAGTCGTGCCCTTCCAAATTACTTTAACCAATCTAATGGTCTTGTTTCTTAATTGCTTGTCCTTATAATCCACAATCCTTTCTGGTTCAGCTTTGAATGTCAAATTCTCCCTGAGTTCAATTTCCTCGGGTTCAATTATATGGGAAGGATCTGGTTGATACTTTTTCAGTTGTGACACATGGAATACGTTGTGTATTCCAGCAATTTGGGGTGGTAATGCTACTTGGTACGCTACTGGTCCAACTCGTTTTAAGATCTCAAAAGGCCCCATAAACCTTGGTGTCAATTTCTTAGCCTTAATAGCTCTTCCAACACCAGTTATCGGAGAGATTTTCAAAAATACATGGTCACATACTTCAAACTCAAGCGGTCTTCTCCTCTTATCCGCATAACTCTTTTGTCTACTTTGAGCTGTGAGTAATTTTTGCTTGATTAAAGCAATCTTTTGGGTAGTCTCATCAACAATGTTCGGCCCTAAAACAGTTCTCTCACTTAATTCTGTCCAACACAGTGGCGATCTACATTTTCTTCCATACAATGCCTCATAAGGTGCCATCTGAATGCTAGAATGAAAACTATTATTGTAGGCAAATTCAGCTAATGGTAAGTGACTATCCCAATTACCTCTAAGCTCAATGGCACAAGCTCTTAACATGTCTTCAAGAGTTTGTATGGTTCGTTCCGTTTGCCCATCAGTCTGGGGGTGGTAAGCGGTGCTAAAACTCAGACGAGTACCCATGGCTTCCTGTAATGACTTCCAAAAGTTTGATGTGAATCTCGGATCACGATCAGATACAATATTTGTCGGCACTCCATGCAATCTCACCACTTCTCTTATATAGATTTCAGTTAATTTTTCAAGAGAATACTTGATATTAGTAGCAAGAAAATGAGCTGATTTGGTGAGTCGATCTACGATTACCCATATAGTGTCATGACCAGAAGATGTTCTAGGAAATCCTGTAATGAAGTCCATAGAAATGCTGTCCCATTTCCACTCTAGAATATCAAGAGACTGTAGCATTCCGGCTGGTTTCTGATGCTCAATTTTGACTTTCTAGCAAGTCAAACAATGAGTTACATGTTCAGTTACATCTCTCTTCATTCTTGGCCACCACCAACCAAGTCTTAAGTCATGATACATCTTAGTTGCTCCTGGATGAATGGTATATCTACTCTGATGAGCCTCCT